GCCCCCAGGAACTTTCATAGAGCAGAGGAGCATGAGTATTGGCCTGGGTATTGGTCAAGGACTAGCCCTTCTGGGCCTACACTTCAAGATTCTCAGGCTCAAGCATGTTTTCATTCAATTTATATAATTCTTTAAAATATCAGCAAAGTTCTCAAAGAATAGTTTTCTACTAAAATGTGCTTTTATACAAAAGTGGTCTGATTAGACAGGGCACACTTCTGGAAATTCATGCTGACCAGCTAGTTCAATCACAGATTGAAAAAGAACGAAAAGGTTCTCTGTGGTTGTCAGTCCTATTGTCATAGTTCGGCAAATAAGAAATTTCAAAAGCAGGCTTCTAAGACTTCCTACAAAGTTAGGCCACCTCTAATTACAGCAAGTGAGATGGTTCCTTCCTTTGCTCTAGATACTGTATGGAGTTCAAGACAGAGTCTTTGACTCCCCACTGTGCTTTGGAAAACCGACCCTTGACTCGATGGATGCAATATCTCCGAGAGGGATACACAGTGTGTGTGGATTGTCAACCTCCAGCTATGAACTCTGTGAGCCTTCGTTGTTCGGGAGATGGCCTAGACTCTGATGGGTAAGGGAGGAAACTGACTGAAGGATTTATCTTGTTACTCATTCTGAAAGACCTGTCCTCTCTGCATCCTAAACAGCTGACTAGAACATGTCACTTCAAGAGATGATTTAGGAAGTCAAATAGGAAGTGAGGAGAACTATCTAGCAATCTCGGAGTCCATAGCTCCTGTTCTCACTAAGTGATACAGAGGTTCTTCATACCAGAGATGAACTAGTCAGCTTGGATATTGGGGTTCAGATCCAGCCCCCAAGTGATCACCAAAAAACTAATCACCCTCAAGCTGTATTCACCCTTTAATCAGAGTCTCTTGGGATGGAGAATTAAAATAGGCCGATTCCTAAGCCCCACTTGAAACCAACTGAATCAGAATCTTTGGAAGTAGATTTTAATAATCGGTTAGGTCAGAGTTCAGAAAAGTTTCAGAACCACTCCTCAAAGGGCTTTTCATAAAATCAGGATTGAGAGTGGTAGGCTCGACAGAGTAATAATCCTATGAATATCTATAGATTTTTCTGAAGGAATTGGCTCCAAAACCATTTTACTACTCTGCACATCTATGGTACTTCTGTACTTATTTATCAGTTCAATCTGATGGCACTATTCGTAACTAAGAGAAGAGTGAACTGGCGTGCTGGGCAGCAATTAGATACCAGCTCAGGTCACACATGGATTATGGTTTTAAGTAAGTCAGTTGGAACTGATAAAAATATAGTAAAATATGGACCTTTCCAGCTAATCACTAATCCAATACATATTTTAATATTTAATAACTTGAATTTATGTTTATTAGTCATTCGTGCCTAAAGGTCTCTATAGAACACACCAGATTAACAATAAAATGGGTAAGGAATTCCCATCAAATAGAACTTTAATATTTAGACAATATTCCTCAAAATACCTTATCCAGATTTTAAATAAATTTATAATTTCATTTATACCCATAAAGAAAGTAAATCCTGGCTGAGGTACTAGTGACTTTAAAAATAATAATTTCAATCATCTGGCTTTGCTCTCCACTTCAGTTTCTTTCATTATGGAATCAAAGAGTTGGAAAGGATGAAAAGAATCATTTAGTTCAGACCTTCTAATTTAAATATACATGAAACAGTCATTTTCCTTTATGTAGTATTTGCATTCAGATCAATGATCTGGGAGAAATGAATACCATACCCCCAAACTGCTCTCTCAGCATGTAGTGTCCTCAAATAGCGATAAACTGTCAACTTGCTTTAACAGACCTAAACAGAGAACTCTGTAGTCTTTTATTTATTTATTTTTAATTTTTTAATAATGTTCTTCACAACTCTGTGCATGATCAATATCTTTTTAAAAATTTTTTGATATATAGCTCTGTAAATTAGAATTGTCTTCAGTTTGCTTTTAGTGTAACTAACATTTTCAAAATGTCATTTCAGAAACCAAACTCTCCATTGGCAAGCAATTGGCAATCCTCGATGTCAAGGAACTTGGAAAAAAGTTCGGCGTGTTGACCAGTGTTCTTGCCCTGCTGTTCACAGTTTCATTTTTATCTAGATTGCGATGTAAATGTTTCAGAATGCACTTGTAAACATGCTAAATATTACCGAGTCGTGTTCAGTGCTTCAGAAACTTTCAAAATCCAGCCAAGTCCCTAAACACATGTCATTGCCATACTCTGAACAAGAGGGAAAAAAATCCAGAGGCCAGTTCTCGAGGAGCATAGTAACTTTATTTTTATTTTTACTGAGTTAAGAACCCACCATAAAAGCTCTTGTGGTTTCTAGGTCCTGACTTTCCACATAGGATCCTGTCTTTCAAAAGGTGGCCCGTGAGACACAGAATACATGTCTATTTGCGCTAAAATTACTACTCCTTAAGTATCTAGGCTTTGAATCTTGCTTTTTTTTTTTTTCATTCCATATTCTTTTAAAAGTTGTTATTTTTACTGAGTTAAGAACCCACCATAAAAGCTCTTGTGGTTTCTAGGTCCTGACTTTCCACATAGGATCCTGTCTTTCAAAAGGTGGCCCGTGAGACACAGAATACATGTCTATTTGCGCTAAAATTACTACTCCTTAAGTATCTAGGCTTTGAATCTTGCTTTTTTTTTTTTTTCATTCCATATTCTTTTAAAAGTTGCTCACTTTAAAAAATGTATACAGATATATGTACACTCTGGTACATGCATGTACCACCCATCCATTCTGAAATAATCATTTTGAGCAGATTGTCACAATTTTCCACTAGGCGAGTTGTTTAAAACTTAGTACACATTTTGTAAAAAACGAATAGCTATGATAAAAAATATTTTTTGAAGAAGAAGAAATTTTCTTCAATTAATTGAAAAGATCAATCAACATTCATTCTAGGGCAATGCAGTACAATTTTCATGAAAACAACTTTGGGCACCAGTGAATGCTTTAATTATAAAAATGGTACCACTATTTACATCGAAGATTATTTCCAAAGCTTAAAGAAGCAGAAGAATCCTTCAGTGTTCAAGTTTAGTTGAAGTAAACTTACTAGGTTTTTGTGTAGCATGCATTTTCTTATGTTTGAGGTGGAAGGCAGAAGTATAGATAGGATGCATGGATTTTGTTATAAATGCTATGATCTCTCTCACACACAGAGAGAAATGTTAGTCTCCTTACTTTATGATTGGAGAATCTGTGAAACTAGAGGCTTAGAAGCATCTGTAAGGATCTGGATGGCAAACCATTTCACAAGTCAACCACAGAGCAAAATCGGGCTCTTCCTGCAAGACTCAGCTTCAATGAACACCTGATTATGCCAAAAGACTGTTGTACAAACCAAGCCCATATAATTTAATAAACAAATGTAAGATTTGGCATATATTCTTTGGAGAATCGAGTCTTGAGATTTAAACAATATGAAATTCTTCTGGTTTCCATTGTATAACATAGTATTCACTAACAAGTGATTTACTGAAATACATATTTCTTGGTACTTATGCCATGACAGAATGAGAACATCAAGCTTAATAGGGATGGACAAGACCTCTGAGGGCAACAATATTTCGGACTATATGTTCATTTAACTGTCAACATTGATTTTTGTAGAAAATGAAATCTTCAGAAATTAATGATAAAATAATTTGAGTCTTATCATGACTAGCAGCTTCAACTGTAAGTTCAATATTAACATTTGAAGGCTATTTATGTCATAAAGTAAGATTTTGGGGGCCAGTCAGTGGTGTGGTGGTTAAAGTGACTGGATCCCACATGGCTGACTGTGAAGTTTGAGACCTGGACCCAGATGCTTGAAGAACAAGCTGGGTGCATGTATGTGCCCAAAGTCCCTGAAAGGAGAAAAGGAGAAGAGACTGGTTTGACCATCTCCCAGGGGAGGGTATTTTCTCATATTCTCTCTCTCTCTCTCTCTGTCTGGCAAATGCATGTGGTTTCTAGCAAAACATTTTTTTAGAGAGATTTTTGCTATAGGGCACATGCACTCACTGGAGAGACAGAGAGAAACGGAAGGCAAGAAATCGCCATCTGGGGATGGCCATACTGCAATCCCTTCTCCTCCATTCTCCTCTCTGGATCTTGGGCATGCACGCACATACACCAGCATGAGTTTTAAGTCCCCAGATCTGGGACTCGAACTGCAGTTGACTTTGTGGGAATCCAGTGATGTAACCATTACACCTCTGCTGGTCCTACAAAACTTTTTTTTTTTTTGGTGTCTTTATTTCCACTCATTTCTAAAATTTGAATTTATTTATTTACATTCATTTACTATACATCATTAGAGCATACAAAATGAGAATACACTGTATATTGGCTCAATCAAGCACATCAACATTAATATTTAATAACTTGAATTTATGTTTATTAGTCATTCGTGCCTAAAGGTCTCTATAGAACACACCAGATGAACAATAAAATGGGTAAGGAATTCCCATCAAATAGAACTTTAATATTTAGACAATATTCCTCAAAATACCTTATCCAGATTTTAAATAAATTTATAATTTATAATTTCATTTATACCCATAAAGAAAGTAAATCCTGGCTGAGGTACTAGTATTAGTCCCACTAATTACTTTCATACTGAAGTTTTTCGTTGTTGTTATTTCCATTCTTGAGAACATTTCACGGGCTAAAAGTCTTACCTATTAAATAATGGTTTTGAAAAGTTTGTTACAAATTCTAGCAAAGCCCAGGGAAACAGTTCAGAACAGAAGCACTAGCTCAAGTGATTAATGAAGAACCAAAAAATTGTATTTTCAGAGTTAAAGATCAAAGTATATTTAAGACCTCTGGGCATCCTTTTTTAATGAGTACCTTAGTGTTAGGGTTCTTTCTGCAGACACTCTACAATGATTTACGGACTCTAAAATCGCTTAATAGACTGATTTTCAAAAGTGCACGTGAGGGAACCAGCAGTTAGCGTAATGGCTATGTCGCTGGACTCCCACGTAGTCTACTGCGGTTCGCGTCCTGGACCCGGTGGCTTAAAACTCACGCCGGGCGCATGTGCGTGCATGCCTAAGATCCCAAGAGGAGAATGGAAGAGAAGGGATTGTGTCGTGGCCATCCCCTCTGGGGGGTGATTTCTCGCTTCCTGTCTCTCTGTCTCTCTCTGTCTGTCTGGCGAGTGCACGCGCCCTATAGTGAAAAACCTCTAAAAAAAAAAAAGTGCACGTGAAAGGTAATTTGAACAAAAATAAATTTACCCACTGGAAAAAGAATTAAAGATAGTAATCATTTAGGAGTGAAAAAAAAGGGAAGAGAATAAAAGCATACAGAACAGAACAAGGCGAACTGTGATCACATTACTCTCTTAGAGTCTTGCTTTGGTTCTTTTTATCTGAGAATGTTATAATTAAGCATAATTTAAATTGTTTAGTTCTCTTCTGGCATAACAATTTTAATTAGTCATCTTTTCTATGCATAAAAATGATAGGAAATAAAACCAGTTTCTTCCCTCTAAGGATATTCTAATGAAGATTCACACAAACCATGGCAAGGTGACTTAAAAGGCAAAGACCTGGGCTTTTTGAATTAGAAGCAATCAGATGATGAGCATATTCAAAGAGAATGGAGGGACCAGCAGATAGTGTAATGGCTACGTGGTTGACTCCTATGTAGTTAACCACGATTCAAATCCCGGACCGGTGGCTTAAACTCATGCTGGGCGTATGCGTGTGCGTGCCCAAGATCCCGAGAGGAGAACGGAGGAGACGGGATTGCGGTGTGTCCATCCCTCCTGGGGTGGTGATTTCTTGCTTTCTGTCTCTGACTCTCTCTGTCTTTCTGGCGAGTGCTCGTGCCCTATAGCAAAAACCTCTCAAAAAAAAAAAAAAAAGAGAGAGAGAGAGAGAGAGAATGGACATGTCTAAATGAGGGGAAGGTAGATTTTTGCCTTCAATCCTTCCTCAAATCCCACTGATGTTATAGGATTCATGAAAGAGAATAAATTCAAAACAGATTAACAGATGAGAGTGGATGTGCAAAATCTACCCAGAAACTTTGAAGACTTATTTTGAAATCAAAATAGAGGGACCATGTCCTTTTATTTTATTTTTAAATTTTTATTTATTTATTTTTTAGAGAGAGTTTTGCTATGGGGTGTGTGTGCTTTCCAGAGAGATAGAAAGTAAGAAATCACACCCTCCCCCCAGGGAAATGGCCATTCCACAATCCTTTCTCCTCCATTTTCTTGGGATTTGGGGCAGGCATGCACACATGCCCAGCGTGAGTTTTAAGCCTCCAGATCCAGGACTCAGACCATGATTGGCCATGTAGGAATAAAATACCTTAACTACTATGACCTCCTGGCCCTCCATGCCCTTTTAAACATGTAGAGAAAAAAGTAGAATCAGGGCAAGTCTGGGGCGTGGTGGTTAAGGCACTGGATCCCACATGGCTGACCGTGAGGTTTGAACCCCAAACCCAAAGGCTTGAAAAACACAGGGGCAGGTGTGCATGCATACCCTAAATTCTGAGAGAATGGAGGAGAAGGAGTTGCAGTGTTACCACGTCCCGCCCAGGGAGGGTACTTCCTCACTTTCCCTTTCTTTTCTCTGTGTCTCTCTGGTAAGCTCACACATTCTATAGCAAAAATACAAGACAAAATGTGGAGTCAGAGGTGAGAGCCATTCTTTCAGAGGTGGAAAGTTCATTGAATACCACACAAGATGAATTTAAAAATTCCACCCTTGGGCCCAGCAGATAGCGTGGTGAACTCATACATGGCTGACCGTGGTTCAAGTCCTAGACCTGGCAGCTCGCTTTCTCATTTTTCCTCTTTCTCTCTCTCTGTGCTTCTTTGGTCAAATTAAAAAAAGTAAAATTAAATAATTTTTAAAAGAATTTTTTAAAAAATTCTACCTTCAGAGATGAATTTGTGAAGCTTAAATCAAGGATAAAGAAAACGTTTCAGAGAGAAAAAAGCAGATTACCTATAAAGGAATATTCAGAAGTTAGAAGCTCTTAAAAATTAACAAAACAAAACTTGGGAGTCATATATAAATGTTATGAAATGTGGAAAAACCTTTCCAGGGGTGACAACCTCCCCACAAGAACATGCCTCTTGCAAAAGGACCTTCATCCCTGTCCAAAAGAGGAGAAGAGGAAA